TATATAACAAAATCCTTTGTCTCAAAACAAACAAACATAAAAAAAAAAAACAGAGGAAAATAAAAGTTTAAGGGGCCAGGGAGATGGCTTAGTAGAATAAGCACTTGCCTTGCAAACATAAGGGCCTGAGTTCAATCCCTGGTTCCGCAAAACAAAAAAAAGAAAAGAAAAGTTTAAATTTAACAGAGCAGGGTGTCAGGGAGATAGCTCAGTAGAATAAGCGCTTGCCTAGCAAGCACAAGGGCCTGAATTCAATCCCCAGCTCCACCTAAATAAATAAATAAAACAGCAAATTTAATCTTAATTATATACTTAACAGAAATGAAAACAAATATTCACACAAAAACTTGTACAAAAAAGAAGCACTCTTTATAATAGTGGAAACAATCTAAATACGCTCACTGGGAGAATGGATAAATAAAGTGGCATATCCATATGGTGGAATGGTATTTGGCAATTAAAACGAAATGCTGGGTCAGTGAGATAGCTCAGTGGTCTAAAGCACCTTAGGCAAGCTTAGGCAGGCACAGGGGACTGCAGTTTGATCCCCGGCACCACATACTGCGCCAGCCCTGCCCTCAGCCAAAAATAAATAAATAAAATAAAATAAAACAAAATGCTGATACACCCTACAACATGAATAAGCTTTGAAAATATGCTAAGTGAAAGAAACTAGTCAGAAAAAAACTTCACATGATTCTACTAATATAGTACTGGCCAACATACAGGACAATAAAGTAGATTAATGGTTGCCTACAGCTGGCAGAAATGGAAGTTTTGGGAGATGATGGCTACAAAGAATGGCATTTCTCTAATGTGACGAAAATATTCCAAAATGGTTATGATAATGCGGATGCAATTCTGTAAATGCACTTTAAAAACCACAGGTATACAATTTGTATGAACAAATTTATAGCACCTAACAAAAGTATTAAAAAAGAACTACAATAGCTAAAATTTCTATCAAGATTTGTGTTCTTGGGGCCAGGGAGGTAGCTCAGTAAAATAAGCACTTGCCTGGCAAACGCAGGGTCCTGAGTTCAATCCCTGGTCACAAAAAAAAAAAAAATTGTGTTCTTGGGTTAGATTCCTCCCCCACCTCCAACCAGGGATTGAACTCAGGCCCTTGAGCTTGCCAAGGAAGTGCTTATTCCACTGAGCCATCTCCCCGGCTCCTAAGATTTTTTAGAACATAGAAAGCATTATCCAAAAAAAGTTTTTTTTATTGTTCAAGCTTTATTTTTTCCCATAATTTTGAAAAACAAATAGCAATGAGACAGTTTCAACCAAATTGGTAGGACAGTTTCAATAATTAACACATTGCATACATTGTTCCTAGTGCCAAAAATTTTTAAATCTTTTTTTCCCATAATTTTATTGATAAATAGCAATGACACAGTTTCAAATCAAATTGGTAGGACAGTTTCAATAATTCACACATTGCATACATTCTTCCTAGTGAAAATTTTTAAATTTCTAACTTGTGCTCTATCAGTTTCTAATTTCTGTTCTTTGCAAAGTGCTATTTTTAAAAAAATGAAAAGGTAAGACAAAGACCAGGAGAAATATTTACAAAACACCTGGTTTTTTGTTTTTTTTTTTTTTTGTTTTGTTTTGTTTTTGTTTTTTTTTCAGAACCAGGGATTGAACTCAGGACCCTGTGCTTGCCAGGCAAGCACTTATTCTACTGAGCTATCTCTCAGGCCTAGAAACATCTATCTGATTATGAACTAGAATATGTAAAAATCTCTTGCACAAAATAATAGGACAGTGCAATTTCTTAGACAGGCATAAGAGTTGAACAGATACTTCACCAAACAATACAGACAAAGGGCCATTAAGCAGAGGCAAATCGGTGCATCATGAGTCACTAAGTATGAAATGAAATCAAAGTGAGGTATCACCATACCTACAAGAACAGCCAGAATTTAAAACACTGAAGACTAGAGATGTAGCTCAGTGATACAGTGCATGCTTAGCATACATGGGCCTTAGGTTCAATCCCTAGGAAGGGAAAAAAAAATTAGCCAGTCTGGGCTACATAGTGAATTCAAGGCCAGTTTCAAATAGTTTGATGCTGTCTCAAAAAACAAAAACAAAATCAACAACAACAACAACAAAGACTGAAAGTACCAAGTGTTCAAGAGGTTATAGAACAAATGGAACTCACCACTGTAAATGAGAATGAGAAATGGTATGGCTACTTTGAAAAATAACTTAGTAATTTCTTATAAGGTTCAATTTACACTTCTTATAAGAACCTGGAATTCTACCTTTTGGTATATACTCCAGAGCAATGAAAACATACATCTACATATAGACCTGTACATTAATGTCATTTCATAGCTGGCTAGTCATAATAGCCCCAAACTTTACACAATTTGAATGTGCATCAATAAAGAGACAGGTGGGTGTGCTGGAGCACACCTATAATCCCAGCACTTGGGAAGCTGAGGCAGGAGGATTGCCATGAATTCAAGGCCAGTCTGGGCTACATAGTGAATTGATGGGCAGCCTGAACAACTTAGGGAGATTCTGTATAAAGAAGAGGAGGAGGAGGAGGGGGAAGTGGAGGGGGAGGAAGGAGGAGGAAGAAGAGGAGGAGAAGGAAGAGGAAGAGGAGGAAGAGGAAGAAGAAGAAGAGGAGGAAGAACAAAGATTTACTAGACTATTCTACCACAATTAAAAAGGAACAAGTTATTAATATATACAAAAATATGTGTCAATCTTAAAAGGACTATACTAACTGAACAAAGCCACAGGAGTACATATTGTATAATTTATTTGACATTTCAAAAAAAAGCAAAACACAGTGACAGAAAATAGATCAGTGATTCACCAGGGCAGTAGAAGAAGAGAAGACTAACTGAAAATGAAATATGAGGGAATTTAGGGGCATGACAAAAATGTTCTATGGTGGTCATAACACTATGTACAATTTTCAAAACTCATAAAACTAAACATTTAACTGGATGAATGTTAACATAGGTAAGGTATGTTCAGTAAGGTTGAGTTTTTAAAAAAACAATGATAGTTTCATTCTTTTTCTCAGGCCTGCAAATTCTCAAGGTCTTAGGTAATCCCCAGAAGGTCCCAACAATGCTGTCTGCTCTACTTTTAGGACCTGACTCTAATTTGAACTTATCTGCTTTACTAATCAGTTACCCCTTTTGATTCTTAAAGCCTTAAACTTTACATCTAGTTCCAAGAACAAACATGCCATGTTAACAAAACCTATGTGCTATCATCTCTGCTAAACTTAAAATGTAGCTGATCTCTTGAAGTTTTTCTAGGGCTGGAGAGATGGCTCAGTGGTCTAAAGCACCTACTTGGAACAAGCTTGGCAAAGTACAGGGACCACGGTTCGATCCCCCAGCACCACATGCCAGCCAGCTGCGCCCCCTGGTGGGCTGAGCTGGCCACACACACACACACACACACACACACACACACAATAAATAAATGTTAAAAAAAAAAAAGTTAAAAAAAAAAAAAGTTTTTCTAGCTTCACTGTTGTTCTCATCTTTCTCACTTAAAAAAAAAATTGCTATAAATTTTAGTAGCTCATTCATATGCAGGAGACAAATCCAAATTTTACAGATTGAAACTTTAATCAACAGGTCAACTTCCTCCACTTATTCCCAGTACTGGGGAACAAAGCCTTTGTGTTGAGCTACATCCCTAGCTCCTTTAAAAAACTTTGCTTTGAGATAGGCCAATAGCACAGTGGATTAAAGCATCTGCAAGCAGGCACAGCGTCTGGGGGTTAGATTCCTTCCGCCTGCTGTGCCATCCACACCCCTGGGGCACATTGAGACCACAATTGAGACTAGGCATGGTGCCACGCGCCTGTAATCCCTGCTCTTGGGATGCTATAAACAGGTGGATCACTACAAGCCGGATCTAGTAGTAAGACCCTGAACACAGTATAGACCCTTCTCTAAAATACAGGAAAAAAAAAAAAAAAAAAAGAGGCTCTTACTAAGTCACTGAGTTGCCCAGGCTGGGCTCCAACTTGTGATTCTCCTGCCTCAGCACCCTAGACACTGGGGCTCATAGGCATGCACCACCACACCTCGCTGAAGGTCAGTTTGAAACATATGCAGTTGTGTTTGCCAACATCTAACAGGAGCTCCTTAATTTCCTACAAATAATAATAGATATTAACATTTCTTACTATATTAACATGTCCAAAATAATCAAAGGCAAATAAAGCAAACTGCAACCAAAAGAAAACTAAGTACACCAGTGTGTATATATCGCTGGCAATTAAGGTTTTGAAAACAGCAGGATTCAGGAATTCAAGATGCGTTTTCCTATACATCTACAATAGCAACAAACTGAGAATGTACAACAATCTAATGAAAATTGCATTGACAGTATATTTGGGGAAAACCCAGAGTCAATCACACACAAAGACATCTACAAAGGAATGAAAAACAACAAAATGTAGAGAGCGTCACTTAAAACACACAAGCTCTGAGTTACCCAAATATTTTGGAAGACAGCACCTTTTAAAGTTAATCTTGTCTTGGGGATCAGGGATATAGCTCAGTGGCACAGCACCTGCCTGGCAAGCACAAGGTCCTAAGTTCAATTCCTGGTACCAAAATAAATACACAAATGAATAAATATCCCAACTATGGTAGAAGTCAGACTCTCCAAATGAGGCTACTACTAGCAAAGAGATACGGTAACCAATAAAGGAACAAATAAGCAAGTGGCAAGCAAAACAAACTCACATGTGTGAATAAAAACTTGAAACCTCAGGAAACAAAAGAGAATTGTACCTAAGCATAAACAGACTCATCATCATTACTATAGTTCGACCCTGTGATAAAACAGGGTCAGCGCTTTTTACTTATGTGTGCTACCATTGTCCCTATAGATAAACTGACCTACATAGCAGTCTTTATGATACCGCTTCAAAATATTCATAATGATGAGACTGGGGTAGATGAAAGCTACGTATCTGAGGATCAAGTTAGGCTGACACTCACCACAAATCTCTCACCATTCTGTTCCACATGTTTGTATGTGGGGACCGATATGGGCACTGCTTGCTTTTCTGTGTAATCATAAAAAGATTGTCCCAACGAGTCGTCACTGGGATCTAGGTTATCTGCCTCGTGAGGAGGTACAGATAACACTGTCAAGATCAATTCCTTCTCGCCTGCTCGGATCAGGTCCACCACCTGCTTGTGTGTCGCCCCCTCAACATTCACGCCGTTCCTAGGGGGAAAAAGGGAAAAAGACAATCCCATAAACCAGAAGGGTCCAAACACTTCATATTTCCACCCTCCTGCCCCCAACCAGTTTCACACAATATGAACCATAAAAATCAAAAGATTCATTTGGTTCCATAAAATTTATTTATGTCTTTACAGATTCTAAAATGAAAGACTATTTGTAAACTTCAACATAGGGGAGAAAAAAAGGAAACAGGTGAAAGAGAGGACCTACCCTTTCTCTATATTAGAATTTAACATAGTTTTAGGAAAGCACATAGCAAAGAGAGTGAAGCTGAGGAGGAAACAAAGCCTTTTAAGCTGAATAGTCCAATTTCCTCCCCCTAATTTAGCGTGTATATAATGCAATCAAAGTGGCTTTTGACAATCTTGCCATTTGAATTGTACTCTTTATCCTTTTAAAGCTCATGGGAATTTTGTTAAAAAGAAACTTCACATTGAGCTTGGTGGTTCAAGCCTATACTCTCAGCCAGAACTCTAAAAAGCTGAGAGAAGGATCTAAATTTGAGCCCAGCCTGACCAACTCAGTAAGACACTGTCAAAAAATAAAAAGGGGTAGAAATGTAGCTCAGCATGAAGGCGCTGGATTCAATCCCTAGCACTACAAAACAAAACACAAACAACACTTCACAAAATATATTCCCTTAACTTGTAAACAGACAAAAAAAAAAAAAAAGATACAAGATACTCCCTTTACATTTTAAAACCTAATTTCTCCTCATATCTTATGTTAGTCAACTTAATTTTCCTTTATACCAAGTTTTACTGTCTTGGGAGTTAAATAATATTAATTTTCAGGGCCAGCAAGATAGTTCAGTGGACCAAAGCACCTGATTGGGCAAGCTTAGGCAAGCACAGGGACTGGGGCCCAATCCCTGGTACCACATGCTGTGCCAGCCCCACCCCTTGGGAGGGCTAAGACAGCCACACATACAAAAAATTAATTTTCATACACATTTTTTCTCTACTACCTCTAAAAATTTCAATACCTGAACCTAACTTTCTTTGTCCTCTCAACCACCAAATTAATTTCTCAAGATTTTCTCTGCTGTCTTAAAGTTCTATGTAAACTGTCCCAACAAAAAAATACACACTTGAGCTTACATAGTAAATCATCATATTCATTCTCCTTTCTATTTCACTGTGTACAAAAGGCTGGAATAAGGAAAAGTATAAGGTTTGGGAGAACAGTAATTTTGTCAAGAAAGATGCTAAGGTTCACAAAATTCACTCAGCAAACTGAACTACCTTCCCACAGTGCTGACCCAGCCTGCCTTCTCAGCAAAAACCACTGGGCAGCCGGCGTGAAGGTTCCTCACCATGGCTATCCTAAGAGGGAGGAGAAATACACACCTGACCCCTTAATCCATTTAATATTTAAAGCTTATCTAACTTTGAGAGTTAAATTTTTTTTCATTTCTATTCCAAATCTTAAGGTTTTTTCCTCTTGAAATTGATGCTAAATTTAGTAACAAGCCTTCCCCCCAGTTCCACCAAAAAAAATAAAAATAGTAACAAGCCTTCCACACAACTTTTCAGTCAACAGAATTATTTCTATCAGTCTGGTATCTGAAACTTCCATTTAAATAAATGGGCAAAAGATTGTTTAGCCTTCTCCTTTATTTTGTGTTTAACAATCTACCCAGTAAATTCAGCATTTTATTTTAGTATTATTTTTGTCTTTTGAGAAGGGGTCTCTGCAGTTCAGGCTGGCCTTGAAATCACTTTGTAGCCCAGGCTGCTCTTGAACTCACAATGATCCTCCTGTCTCAGCTTCCCTGATGGGATTACAGGCATGTGCCACCACGCCTAGCCAAATTCAGCATTCCTGATATTTCACAACCTTTTTAAAAGGCTAACTTAAAGACAAACATAAAAACCAGAAGGAAAAAAAAAAAAAGGCAGTGATTTTATACACACAAAAAAATCACTACTGTAGAAGAAAGTAAAAGCCCCTTTCATTGATGGAAATTTGGTCTTTATATTCAGAGGTGAGAATAGAGATTAAAAAAAAAAATGATCAATTATATGCAATGGATGAAAAGACTGCTGTTAAACAACAAACGGAAACCTAAAGTTATGAATTGGAAAAGATTTCATCTAATTCTTCAGCCTTAGTAGTTCTGAGAAAATACACTGATTGTAGGAAGAAACAAACGGAAAAAGCAAAGGGTAGAAATTATCAGAGAATTCCACAGTGCCTAAGAACCTTGGCTTGCTTACAAATATCCATGCTAATTTTTTTTTTAACTAAATGAGGGAAACTGACATTTTTTAAAAAATGTATTTAGTACAGGGGCTACAGGGTCTCACTATGTAGATCAGACTCACAGTGATCCTCCTGTTTTCAGCCTCCTAAGTGCTGTAATTACAAGCGCCTACTGTTAAACAACAAACGGAAACCTAAAGTTATAAATTGGAAAAGATTTCATCTAATTCTTCAGCCTTAGTAGTTCTGAGAAAATACACTGATTGTAGCGTATTTTCTACAATACACTGATGCCCAGTCTCAGTTGCAGTCTCAGCACACCCTGGGTGCGGAGCCAGCATGGCTTATGGTGCAAAGGATTGAACCTCAGACCCAAAACCGACATATTAAAGACTGAACAAAATATCCTGGATATAGATTCTTGACTAATAACAATTAATTTAGGGCTGGGGAGTTAGCTCAGTAGAATAAATGTTTGCCTGGCAAGCGCAACGGCCTGAGTTCAATCCCCGGTTCCGCAAAAAAAACAAAACAAAACAACAACAACAACAAAAATTAATTTAATGAGTTACATTATTTGTGAAAAAACTAATGTTCAAATTTTTACTTTTCAGGGCTGGTGAGATGGGTCAGTGGTCTAAAACACCTACTTGGAACAAGCTTGGCAAACAAAGCACAGGGACCACAGTTCGATCCCCCAGCACCACATGCCAGCCAGCCCCGCCCCAAGGTGGGCTGAGCTGGCCACACCCACACCCACCCACACCCACACAAATAAATAAATGTTAAATTTTTTTTTTTTTTTTTTTTACTTTTCAGCCCCTAATTTTTTTCCTTAAAATTTAAATCTAGGTTACTCTGGCACTAAAATGATTAATAACTACTGCTTTGAAAACAAGGCCAGGCATGGTGATGCACGTCTGTAATCCTAGCACTCAAGAGGCTGAGGCAAGAGGATCCCCATGAGTTTGAGGCAAGCCTGGGCTACAAAGTGAGTGTGTGTGTATGTGTGTGCGGGGGGGGGGGGGGGGTGTCAAGCAAGCAAGCAAGCAAACAGGCAAACTTCCATTCTGTTTTTAAAACAAAACACACTGCTCCTTGTGTTGTTAACAAAAATAAGCCCTGAAAATTACCAGAGAAACATGAGGCTTTTACCAAGAGCAGCCAGGGAGGAAAGGAGCTTGCTTAAGTCTCCCTTCTTTATTAGTGAGAAAGCTATCTGGCTAATACTCCCAAGCCACATTTAAAAAGAAAAGAAGGGGCCGGGGAGATGGCTCAGTGAAATAAGCGCTTCCCTGGCAAGCGCAATGGCCTGAGTTCAATCCCCAGTTCTGCAAAAAAAAGAAAAGAACTTCCAATGTCATATTTTAAATATACTTATTAATATTGATTAGTTTAAGCTACAGAAGGAATACTGTATATCCCACAAACTAATATAAAGAGGGAAATCCTTCATTCTTCAAGAAGAAAACAAGGTCTGTATAAATCCCAGGGCAGCTGATTTGAAAAAAGGCCCTCCTCCACAAGAATGAATGCCTATTGGGCCAGCCAGATAGCTCAGTGGATTAAAGTGCCTGCAAGCTGGCGCAGGGGTCAGGGAATTCAATCCTGGGGCCTGCCACACAGGACCCACCCCGGGGGGGGTACGCTGAGATGGCAACTGAGACTGGGCTGGTGTCCTATAATCACAGCTCTTGGGAGGCTGAAAACAGGAGAATCACTAGAGTCTGATCTATGTAGTTAAACTCTGTAGTCCCTGCAGACCCTGTGCCAAATACATTAAAAAAAGAAAGAAAGAAGGAAAAAAAGAATGCCTATAATCCCAACAATCTAGAAAGTTAAGACAAGAGGATCCCAAATTTGAGACCATCCTGGGCAAGTTAGTTACTTAGCAAAACCCTATCTCAAAACTAGTTAAAGAAAAAAAAAAAAAAAAA